CTTCTCACGACTTCCAAAAACCGCTTGATTCGTGGTTTGGAAGTGCATCGAAATATACGTACCCTCATTAATTACCTTTTCGCATCTCTTCCGCACCGCTTTCGCGTACCTTTCCCGCGCGAGAGTTTTAAATACTTTCATATAATCGTTTTGAAATTTTTATAAATTTATAAAGAACGATTTGAAGGCAACCCCGATATATAATTTCTAAATATAGTACTCTATCTACCTTTTCATATTTTTTATTTTTCCAAATTGAGCCGGTATAGTATACTACTTCAAACGATATTCAGAATAATTATCTTTAGCAATTATCTTTTAAGAACGCTCGTAATACAAAGTACTTCATCTCTGAAAAAGAAAGAGACTAGCCATGATGTTAAAATATATTCTGAGACTATTACATCTAATATGTTGTGCCCACCCACTCTATCCAATATATTTCTATTCCAGAATTATTTCATCTGCAATCTCTTAGGCCCACAATAACCTTTGTGTTTCTAATAATGCCCGGGAGTATATACTATAATAATGTAACTTTCCTTTCAAGAAAGAATTCTTGGGGAAACAGCGGCCCCTAGAATAAGCACTCTCGTCCTTTGGGATCTATTTGAGAGTTTCCTTGCACTGCGAAACTACAATTTATTAAAGTGTCTGAAGGTGTGAGGGTGTGATCAGCGTGCGATCGTATATTCCTGACTCTTCCTGGGAACAGAACAAGGAAGCTAAGACCTGCAATAGTCAAGGGTTTATGGACTAAGCACTCCATTGCTAAACGGGTAAACCTATGCAATCCAAAGAAAGGCTGAATATGCCCTCGATGTAGCCAGCATACGTACATGTTGGTAATTCACTCCCACTCCTCGAAACTGACACGGATCCTCTGGCGGAAGAACAGCTTCCCTTCAAAAGCATCCTTGACGATCAACCACTGCAAACGGATCCTCATACAGAGCCCCACAAAGAGCACGGCCCTGTTCAACCGGAACTGTGCGGGTATCCATGTCAACTGGGGTAGGGTATGCGTACAGAGGTGCCCCGGTCAGAAGAGTAGCGTTTCTACGTTGATGTGGGCAGGATACCGTGAATCTTAAATCAAACCCCACACTGCAGATATGAGTACACGTATCACCGATACATACCCAGGTCCGACTCAAACCTAAAGTGAGGTACTCTTACACCAGAATCAAGCCCTGGGGCACTGAACCCCAAGACTTAGGGTTTAGGGTTGACCCGGAACCCTAATCTGCTCTAAGTTGGAGACTGCGGTATCAGAAGAGCAGAGCGCATCGTGACACATGTTTCGCATGCAGACCTCAAAGGTCGCCCGGCCAGCGGCCAGTTTTGCCGCAAGGCTTTGTCTGCACTGCAGCTCTGTCCAGGCAATGGTGGTGGCAGTTCAGATGTAGTAGCAATAGTGGAATTAGTCGGAGGAGCAGTTGTCGTAGTAGTAGTAGTAGTAGTAGTAGTAGTAGTAGTAGTAGTAGTAGTAGTAAGTAGTAGTAGCAGCAGCAGTCGTAGTACCATTGGTGGTTTGGTGCTCGTGCGGAAAAGTTAATCATGAAGTCGATGTAGCCGATGTCGCAGTGCTTGGAGCACAAGGTCAAAGGTTTTGCATGTAGGGGTCTAAGTTTGGGGCTTACATTGAAAGGGTTGGGGCTTAGGGGCTTAGCTCTTCGGGTTTACATTTTAGGGGTTTAGGGTATCACTAGCAATTGAAGGGGCCTTTCCACCGGATACTCGTAAAAAACGAACAACCCCGCATGGACCATGAACCCATACCCAGTACATGAAAAAAATGCAGCATGCACAAGATGTTGCGACATGAACTTATGCATACGCAGATGAACCCTCTTCATACATATGTATGGATACATGTCTATTGTTAGATGCGTATAAAACATGTACAAACAGGTATAAGTAAACGAGTGTGTGTATATATGTATAAACTTCAAGCACTTTTGCTCCAGCTGTGTGCACAATGTATCTCTCTGCTATCTGTCACCGTGGCCTCCATAAAGAATGAAACAGGATGGCTTTGGGATATGAAGGGTTGGAGGGTTTAGGGTTTAGGAGGGTTTGGGTAAAGTTGACGGAAGACGGAAGACTTTGAGAAACGTCCAAAACTGTAGAGGGAGACTAGGCCCGACCAAGGCGACCTGTTCCAACAGTGCCCTACCCGTCACCAAATCCTCAAGCCTTACCCCTAAACTTGAACCCCAAAGCCCTACACTAAACCCTAAACTCTACATCCGAAGCCCATGGATGGACAAAGCTGCGCATAGCTGCGTATGTGCTGGCTACTGCAGGCAGCTGACGCACACAAGGGATGTGACCAATTAATCACAATGTCGTCGCTGCACGTATGCAAGCTTCCAAAGCGGAGCATCCGGCCGTCAATCGTCCAAGCCCACGCCGCTCAGAGTTAAAGCCTGCAGCACCCACGCACGTTTACATCGTTCAGATTTTCGCCTCCAAGCCAACACACTGACGGCCGTTAGCTTTGACACTGACATCCGATATCTTCAAGGAGTCCAGAACACCGAATAAGAAAGCCAAGGGTAAACCTCAGATAACATCCGAATAACACTTCGCATGAGATGATTGGGGGTGCTCATTGGCGAACCACCTGTCATGCCCGAACCCAGTACTTTGGGTTTGCACATGCCATCCTGAAGCCTTGCACCTTTTCCGAACATACTATCTTTTGACCCACTGAGGGTTCAGGGTTCAGGGTTCAGAGTTATTTAGGGCTTCTTTCCTTCGTAGACCACCTCAGTAACCAGAGGGTCTCAATGATTGAAATGTACCGCAAGCAAGCTCCAACATTGAGGAGACATGGTGACGATGAGCCCTCGAGGAAGCCGCATCAAGAAGGCTTGAATAACCCCAAGTGCCTACAACTTTGCTTCAGCAAATACCCCTTAAATATAATTAATAATTAGTAGGTACAACCGATAAGATCGCACGTAGACTGAATCGCAGGTAAGTTTCAAATGATTTGAAGCTCTGCATTGGCATTAGACGACTACGCGACACTTCGTGCCGTCTCTTTCGAGACTTCGGTGCACGCCGTAGCGTGTTTATAGTTAGAAGTGTGGCTTTGTTTGTGTGTCATGTCCGTCCAGCTGTCTATCACAGCACTGATGGTAACCCTACACTACACTGGCCCTACACCACTCGCACCCAAAACCTGGATAAGACATGATAAGACAGAGCCTGGATGCTGGATTTCTTGAGCGACCCGCATGGACTCCGTGAAGAAGTCCTTGGCTAAATGGAAAACGGACATCTGCACTCGAAACAGCTGAGGGAGGCAAGACTCTTTCCCTTCTGCGAGCGGCTTTGCCAAGATTCTTCGCAAGGATCTTGGCGTTTAAGACTGTAGCCGTTCCCCCTAACTATCATGGTTTCGTCCTTTCCTCTGAGCAGAGTCCAAAGTTTTAAAACGGTTGTACCTGACAAGTATCCACCTGGCATAGGCGCTACCCATTTATGGGCTTGGCACAAACTTCTGTTGATCTACGTCTGCTGGCAGCCTGTGTGTCGAATCCAAAGCCCCAAACGATGCCTCCGCCACAACCTCCCCAGACCCACAATCCCAAAGCCTACACCCTAAACTCTAAATACAGTATTCTATCCATAAACTCTAGGATAATCGGACACTGATCCTCGAATGGAGTTCGGAGTTAGATTACACTTTTCACAGCGACTTCTTCGTATGCCCAGCCCAGAGGTTTTCTGACCTCGAAAGCCTTTTCAGGCTGTATGCCCCAAACTGTAGACACAAACAGTTCAGAGCCCATCAGCCCATACCATTTAAAGCATTTGCCAAGAAGCACAGGAAGACCTGTGGGAGCTTTCGCTCGATCCTCGGCGCCTTGCGCAGTGCTTTGCGCGCTGTCGCGCGGGCACGCAGGCCGCACGACAGCAGCGCCCGCTGTGCCCTGCTCAGGCTGGCCTTGGAAAAGAGCCACAGGCCGTGATCTTCAAGGTACATGATTCCGAAGTGTCTGATAACACTTTGAGTATGCTATCAGAAGACTATCTGTGGAGGTTTCATGTTTTGTTGTACTGCGTTGGAAAGATCGAAATGAGAATTCTTCTACCCAGAGTGGGGCATATGGTTCCTCTCCATCATCCAGGTAGGAGTGCTGGTCTGCAGAACGCCCGTACTATGAAACTAAGCCCGCTGGACGACTCCTTCCCATTTCATCTCCTGATCCTAAGTAACCACGGAGCATCAAACTCACCGTTTCCGCCTGACTCGCTGATGTATGAGCATGTCTCGACAATTTGTCAAACAGGCCTGCGACTGCGCCCAGGAAAGAAGCCGAAGATCGAAGAGCTCCTGCTCAGCGTGCTTCACGGCTTCACGCACATCGGGACACATACAACTCGTCATCAATCGGATCCCGCCTCACCACGCACCCGGTGGAGGTGGCGGGATCCTTGGATTATGGCAAGCATTGGATCCGGGTAGATGTCTAGATGTGTCTACCCTTTTTCACATCGTTGTGGCAGGGTAGAGTCTTTGACTTGGCTATTCACTCCTTGACCATGCCATTGTTGGTACAGGCCTCCACTTCGCTCAATTTGAGTTGCACGGCTCTAGTGCCAAACTTGGGTGCAAGGAGGTTAAGTGCTCGGGACTTTGTTGATGCCCATCGGCTCGTGCGCTTTGTTAAGCGGCTGGTGCTGTGGTCAGCGGATATCATGACCTCCAACTTCAGGGGAAGCCTTTTCCTGTCAAGCTGTGGAAGTCTTCACGTGCAAGGCCCGGATTGTTTTTTGACATGGTCCTCCTGAAACAAAGCCCAAGGCCTTAGAGCTTCTAGCCTCACTTCATCTCGATCCCTTGAATTTGACGGCCTGTACCCTCCGCGCGATTGTCAAAAGGCACGTTAAACTCCTGAGTGGCCTTTCGCAAGAAGCAAGCCGAGTATCGAAGGAACAAAACCCGGTAACACCCCACACGCAGTTCCGTGGATTGGTTGCTGCATCCCTTCAATTCCAAGGTCGAAACGAAGATTATCGTATCCCTGCCGGTCGCCCCAAGTATCACTATTACCTCTGCCCTGCTAAAGTACCTTGGTCATGCAGCTTGTCACGGCGAACCATGTTGCTTTCTGGGAGAGACAGCACTGGATAACTGGCCGTGCTCTCTCTGCAATTCTGAAAAGCCACGGTCCTGAAACAGTGAACCCTTGAGCTAAACTCCTAGGTTCCTCACGTCGGCGAAACTTTCTGTGGGAGTAATCTTGAGGCATTTAATAGTATGGCAGAGCCTCAGACTCAGACACACTCGGTGCTTTAGTTGCATTATCCCTCGGGAGCTCTTCAAATCCATCACCGTGCCTGCTACTGCCCGTAATGTAGTGGGCTGCCTGCTGCCTAATTACCATCATTGAATCATCCCTGTTGCCACCGAGGCAACTGGCAACTCTGAGGTTCCCGCGACATCTTCTACCGTACTACCACCAGGATAACGTACTGGTACTTACTGCGGGGCCAGCTTTCTTTTTGAAAGGTGCTGGGCGCTTGTACGTGAAATCATAAGTTGGATACGTATTCACACTGCCACGTATAACTGCCCATAGGATCCTCACAAAGCGCAAGCAAGCAGCGCCCCCGCACATGCCGCTCCTCCTTGGCCGTGGCGGGCTCTGACCGGTTAGGCTTCTACAGCAGTCGAGCAACGATAGACAAAAAAGACGATGAACATTCGTCAGGCGCCTAGCTTGGTACGGGAAGATGGAAATTCCGGCAAAATGGGATCTTTGATTTGGAAGATCGAAAGATCCGGCACATCGAGGGGAGGGCATGCCTGCCGCGGATACCAACACCTGAGTCCCAACTTAACTTACAACCAGCTCCAGCACCATTTAGCTGCATTCCCAAATTTTGTATGCGCGCCGAACATGAGGAGTTTCCAACGTTCAGACATCCCTGTTGTTGTGTCTTATACGTTACACTTGGTGGTATATCGAGTGATTGAAAATGTGACAAAGCACCAAGTGTGCGTGTAGGCTACCGCGCACGCAGTAAGGCGGGATACGCTGGCTTGGGTTCAAGGTTGCTCTGGTACCTGCTAAATAAGTCGACCGAAGCAGCCTCCTTTCAAACCAAATCAGTCATGTTGGGCTGCGCCGTCTTGAACAAGTAAGATCCACTCCTGCCAACACTTTGAAATACAGCCCTCCAATGCTCGACCCAGTCTCCGCCGAAGAGTTGACAGAAGACGACCCAGTCTCCGCCGAAGAGTTCTCTGGCCTTGGAGCACTGCCAAAGGGAACTGCTATAAAGAGAGCTCGTATGATCTTGGCACCTTCTGTTGGGTTGTTGTTATTCGACATATACAGTGGCCTGGCAAAAGTCTTGATCCCAGCACAGCGTCAATCTCCAGATTCTATTAGAGTTCCGAGCCTTGATGTCCCACATCAAGATTCAGGATGAGTGTGGCGATTGTGGGAACTGTTGTCGGTAGCACCCTGCGAGGCTCGCTGCGCGGCAAGTCGATGAGACTCTGGAGACCTGCTTCACATCGATCCCTGCAAGATTCGATCTGAAGCATCCAGCCGCCCCTGCTGAAGAGCACCCACCTGTAGTAAAGAATAACAAAGATTTCGGCAACTTGCTTTCATCGTGTGAACAAGAAGATTTTTTGCCCAAAGCCTGCAGTCTTCAGAATCAAGTGGCCTGCATCGAGGGCGCCCTCTTCTTCGTCCCTGCGCGAGGCTTCGCCAGTTTCTGATGAAAAGCTCAGTCAGGCTGTCGGAATATCTTCTGCTGGGACCCTATAGTTGAAGGCACAGGATAGCTTGAGGCCTCAATCTTACAGACTGTTTGGGCCGTGGACCTGGTCTTGTGACTGCATAGTCTGCATAGCGTAGACAGATCTGCAAGCAAACATGGGTAGGGCGGGTAGAAACGGCGAGATTGCGGTTTGGGTAGGGTCGATGCATCAAGGCTGTAAACAGTGTGCTGCAGGCTCAAGAATAGGCCGTGCAGAAATGACTAGCTGAGGCCCGCTCGCAGGGCCTTGGGCCCAGTCCCAACACAGATCCGTCCCGTTTAGAACCTATGCAGCTGATGTCGTCAGAACCCGGTTAGTTGAAAGCAAGGTGATTCGGATTAGAAGACTTGTGCGCCTTAAAGCCCTTCGGGGAATATGATGCTGGAGTTTGCTAGAAAACTTAGTTGTGACGCTTTGCGTCTTAGATGTGACTTTCCAACTTCTACAGCAAAATGACTGAATTGTAAGATTTTTCGGTTCCCTCAACAGCAAGTCTATGCAGAGTTTGCAACAGGCATCTTACTGTAGTTATGGCTTTTTGGGTGTCTTTAGCATCAAGCCACTAACTAAGTTTATCATTTAGCACCGAGTCACAATCTTTGTGCGTATTTAGCAGCAAACCAGAAGCGTCACACAAGGCTTATTTAGGGCTTTCGTCTTGGGTACTGGATTCACTCCTTAGGGATTTTCGTGTTGGGCACAAGGTTCTCGCCGAATTCACTCCCTCTGGTTTTCGCGTTGGGTAAAAGGTTCTCGCTGGATTCACTCCTTGGGCTTTTCGTCTTCGGTCAAAGGTTCTTGCTGGAATCACTCCTTTAGGCCTCATAAGATAAATATATGTTTGTAATTGAGCATAGCAGCGCACATTGATGTAAGGCTGTCGAGCGGCTTGAGGTGGGGGCCTGGCGAGTGGGGAAGTTGAACTAACAGCCACCTCGACTCAAGAGAGTCTTCTGGTTTAGCAGGCGCATGGTTGCGTGCATGAGCTCGTTCCCACCTCTTGCGCAAAGCCTGACTGCTGGGTTTGTGGGTAAGTGGGGCAGTGGCGGTAGGTGGGGTAGGTAGGACAAGGCTACGTCTAAAAGAAAAGAGTTCCTTTTCAAGAAAGAAAACGCAAGTTACAACTTAGCCTGCTGCCGTGAGGTTTGGAGTAGTGAGTAGAGGATACGGGGTCTACTGGGCTCAGGAGCAACTATGCTATGGGGTTCAGGCCTAAGGCTTACAGTAGGGTGTATGTCCAACTTAACAGCTGCCTGCTCCTTCTCTGCAGGGGAGAAGGCGCTGGCTGCGACTGGCGCTTTGACCTCACGGTATCATGACCCGACTAGTTCTGACGGGGAGTGAGGGAGGGACTACAGTACGGCGATAACAGGGGAGTACATAGCGATGACTGTGGGAACCCACTCCACCACTTAGGCACCAGATGGCACCAGTCAATTACGGCATGGCTGGACGCAAGCCTAGGCCATGCAAACATGACTCACGAAAAGATCACAGGATGCACTCTTTTCAAAGACTCTCAGCTGAATGCAAACAAACAGCACGAAAAGGGCCTTATGATAGGCTCATCTTTGAGGACCCCTACCACCCTAGCCCCAAACCTGCTCCGTAATTTCATGGCATGGCAGAAACATCAATCGTGGGCAGCAGAGCACCTCCTCAGGCTTGGTCGCGTCGCAGCTGGTGTAGCTGAGGCTCCTACCACGTTTTGGTGGCAGAGTTTGCGCCACTACAAGAGTTTCAGAATGGCCCTGAGCTCGCAAGACAACCCTTGTGCACTACCGGAAGGGGTTCATGGTGGACATCATTATTCAAGGCAGTGCTTCTCCTTTTAGCAACCCCATATTACCCCATATATCCGCCCTAACAATAATGGAGCATATCTCCTTCATGGGCCTCATGAAAAGAAAGACCCTAACTCTTATCCATCCACGCAACATGACACATTTTCACACAACCCAGAATAAACACACACACACACACACACACACACCTTGATATCAAAACTAAACCCTCCGCACCAAGCCCCCAACCCCAAACCCTTAACCACCCATCGCTTAAGATGTAAACACGAGCATCAACACCTAAAGCGAGTGCCGGCCTCGATCGAGGCGGAGTGCAGGAGCTACCAGTTGTAGTCGGGGTTGATGCAAGCAATGCAATGCGGTCCTGCCAAGTTTCGTATAGTGAAACGGGGACAGTACGGTGTGGCAGGGTCCAGGGTAACAGAATTTGCATTCAGGTTTCGGGGGGGCTTTAGCGTTTAAGGCTTTAGGTTCAGAGTTTAGAGAAGTGACGATTGGTTGAGGGGCTGAGGGGCCAGGAAGCGGTGCCTGGCAATCAAGAGAGATCCAGCAACTAGGACCCGAGTTCCCCATGAGAGGCCCAGTGACTAAACGCGGTTGCAGGGGCCAGCACGCTCGCTCATGGGATTTAGGATGTGGGGCTCAAACGGGATTTTGGGTTTGAGGCTTCCAGGACGTGCAAGGGGTATGAATTCAGCGACCTTCATCATATGAATGCCTTCCATGATTTTGTACTTTGCGAATTGGGTCTTAGGGTGCCAGACTGTGTGAACGGGGTTGCGTTTGTCCAGGAATCAAGCGATCATGAGCGTCATAATCAACTGCATTGTGTGCACAATAGCTTCCCTTAAGGAATTCTTGTTATCCGTGTTGCTTCCTATCTTCGAAACGGGTCAGCCGTCTACTTTGTTTAAACCTAAGGGGTTCAGGCCTTCAGTTTTTCTGACGAAGTCGCGGCCAAGGCTTTAGAGTCGCTGATTCGGACATTGAGACCACTACGCGCTTGCTGCGAACCGATTCATCATGACCTCTGCTCAAATGCAGAAAGGCAGGCGCACGCGACTGGATAACTTGGTATTGTTGTTGGACCATCGCTCACTCCCGCTTTTTGGAGCCGCTTCTCCTGAAGTGTGTGTGCGTGTGTGTGTGTGTGTGCGTGTGTGTGTGTCTGTGTGTGTGTGTGTGTCTGTGTGTGTCTGTGTGTGTCTGTGTGTGTCTGTGTGTGTCTGTGTGTGTCTGTGTGTGTCTGTGTGTGTCTGTGTTGGCCAAACAAGCCGCAGCCAATGAGCCGACAACCCATTTATGAAGATAGCACCGCCAAACCCAAATCTCCACTGTCCATGTCTCAGCTCAGCACACACAGTTTAAAGCTCCTTCCAAGCCTTATCGGCCCGAACAGGAGGTGGGCTACAAGCAGCCATCACCTGGCACCCAAGGCTGAATTCTCTCCTACCAGGCTTCCATTGGGACGACTTGAAGATATAGAATCCGGGAATTTCCTCACTGCCGGGCTTCAAAGGGCTGAGCCGTGAGGAGTCATGGCTGATGAGCATTTCTTTCATGATTGGCTCTTAACCACGCTCTCTGTGTAGAGCAGCAAGTACGCCATGTAGGCCCGAAACCTAAGCCCCTGTCAAGGAAATTAAAATCGGTCGACAGCAACACCAGCTATCCCGGCGCGAAGCACGTGCGAATGACACTACACTGAAACCTTGCAACTTGAAATGGAAAAACCAATTTAATGTACATCTCACACAAACACCCAAGCAAAGCGCGAGCTTGAAAACCCCAAAAGATACTGAAAGTCCTAAGTTCCCCAACAGTGACAACGAATTACTCATTGGGCTGGCTCTGACAACGTATCCTCGCCTACACCCTGGACCGCACAAAACCAAACCCTCCCACAACTAGATGGAACCTACCCGAAGCCTTGAGCTCCACATCCAATACAAACCCCCCACCTGAAACCTAAACCTACACTCAGAAACCCAGCAACCCTGAAACCTAAATCTCAAGAAGCGCTGCACCCCAAAAAGAAGCTACCTGCAACCGCAATCACCTACAGCTTTGTAGTAAGTACCCCTTAACTTATTTCGAGGGGAGAGCCCACAAGACTGTAGGGGATTGGAATTACATTTAAACCCCATATAACCCTAAAGACCCTTGTACATGTAAGCCCTATAGAGCACCTACTTAACTTATCCACAGTTGAAGCGCTGGGCGCACCGAGGCCACAGCGTCGTGGCTGAGGAAAGCCGATACCTGCTGCACTCGCAGGTCATCCTGGCCCGGGCGGCTTGAGGGATCGGGGTTACTGGCATCATATTGCTAGGCTTCGTTAACTTTACTAGGATTGACGTGGGAATATGGGGACGAGGGGTTGTATAGGCTTAGAGGGTTATCTAGTAAGTTACGGGGGCTTCATCTATCACCGAAAGTGAAAAATCACATGGCGTGGGGAGGATGGGGTGGGATGTCAGGGCCAAAATGATTTCGAATACCGTTTCGGGCCTAGTTGAAGCGTCATTGAGTATACTGCCACAAAAAATGTAGGAACGTAGTGTTGGCAACTGTTCCCTTAATGTTGGGTTTACATACGGATGCACTCAGGGAAAGGATGTGGGGCTTAAGGTTTGGGTACAGGGCTTCGGATTTCCGAGTGAGGTTTGCGGTGCCGACAATTCACATAGAACATTGTGCCTCCAGGCTCGAATCTACAATTCTCAGCTCAGTTCACACAAGGCTTGAGTCTTGAAGCGAGCGCAATTCCGAAGCACACCCCTCCCAAGCCTTATCGGCCTGACCAGGAAGTTGGCCACCTGCCAACATCCCCTGGCAACAAAGGCTTACATTGTTCCTACAGGAAGAGAAGATGATTCGATTAGGACGATTTGAAGATATAGAGCACTGGGATTTCCTGACGGCGGGCTTCTGGGGGTTGGTCCGTGAATTCATGTCCCCGGCAGAATCATTGCTGATGAGAACTTCTGTCATGATTTGCTCTGAGACGTGCTCTCGGCTTAGAGCAGCAAGTGCGAGATGTTGGCCCGAAGCCCAACTCCCGATCCAAAGAAGAGTCAGTTGACGGAAACAACTTTCTGCCCAGGCGTGAGGTCCATGCAAATCAGGCTGCAGGATAGCAACCTGTAGAGGCAAACCCATCTAGTGACTAGAAATAATGCACATCTCACACAAACAGCCAATGCAAAGAGTGAGCGAGCTATAGACGACCTCAAAAATTCCAAGAGTCCTGAGTGTTCCACTGATGCCATCAAACCTGGATGTTAGCATCTTGCAAAGCGACAACGAGTAACTCGTTGAACTGGCTCTAATGGCTCAGTCTGCACCTGGACCGCAAAACCTCACCCCCTACGCCCTTCACCCTTGATGGAAGCTACAGAAAGCTCTGAGCCTTAAATCCAATACCTGCTAAAAGTGGGGCGTTACCCAAGCTATGGCTTACACAGGTAGCAGGCTGCACATGTAAGGGGCCCTAATCCTAATCCCTAGAACCTACAACCTAAGATCCAGCAGACAACTACTACAGAAGCCTGAATGGTAGGAATGAGGCGTGTGTCTCAGCGTACCAGTCCTCCAGAAGCCTGAATGATCGGAATACGGCTGGAGGCCACATGAACGATGGTCTAAACTCCTAGTATCCCCCGTAATAAGCCCCACCGCCTCTCAGGAGCTTGGACTATGGCTCATGTTATGCTGCAGCTTATTATATAAACGAAGTATATGTTGGTTCTTCGTCAAGCCCCTACACCGCACAATCTTCATACGCCCCTGTACAATTCGAGTGTCCATTAGGACATGTTTCAACCTCTTGTCAAGTTGACTCTCCCATAATTGCTGGGGTCAACTTGTAACCAGTCAGGGGCTCTTCCAGTTAAACCCACATCTCGCAAGCTCTACTGGGTCAAGGCTACAGAGCACTCAACACACTTACCTAAAATGATACCTACATCCTGAGTCCTAACCCCCCCAAGCAGGACTCCAAAGGTTTGCACCTGAACCCACTAGCGCGAACGTTGAACTCTATGAACCATCACCCACCTAATCAGAGCAAAGCCGTGTTCTTTGGTTCCCCTGAAGGGTGCAAACTCGAAGTCCTTGAAGACCTAAACACTAAACCCTTTTTAATAACCCTTATTTGAGCGTCCGCGCCTTTGCGTGGCCACGGCTCTCACAGCACAGCCGTGACTGGAACCCTGGAGTAAGTAATGTGTGTATGCTTAACGGCTAGACACACCAAAACTGCGTGTGTACATATATGTGTAAGATATATATATATATATATATATACATACATACATGCATGCATGCATGCATGCATGCATACATACATACATACATACATACATACATACACATGCTTTGCATTATGATAGTTTCATGAAACGTATGAACTACAACAATATGGCAGGGAATCTTCTTCGTTCGGCTGATGTCGTCCTAGCAAGTTGCAATTGAACATGTACTTTCATGAAACTGATGTTCTGCATCATGCTCTACGACACCCTAAGCTCTAAACCCTGAACCCCACGGGCATTCTGAATCCTCAGTTTTCCTTATCCATATAAGCTACGCAGGCCATGGGCGTCAAGAGGCGTCGCTGCGCATACGCAGGAATTACATGTCTTTCACACTCGCTGGTAGTTTCCTGAAACTCTACGTGCTTCCTGTGATTGTCTGAGCCGAGGAAGCAACGCTGCGCACCAAGCATGTCTTGGCACAGCTCCCTGAGGCTCTACGCGAGTTAACTTTTTCTGGCCTACAAGGCAGGTAGCTGCCTCGGGATTTGGATTAAGGCAGAACATAGGGCTTAAGGGTTCGTTGCCAAGAATGAATGAGGGCCCTTCTTCGAAATCATGTGGGGTTCACGTTTGGGAATTCCTGCATTCCTTTCATGGTTGCCCCACCAACCGAGGCTTCAGGGCTTAGGCTTTAGCCCTTTATTTCGGTGATTTTCAATCCTTCGGGATGATTAAAGAAGGGTTTAAGGAGGGTAGGGATTGCATAAGAACCCGAAACCCTGAACCCTAAAGCCTAAACCCGACTTCCTAAACCCTAAACTCAAAATCATAAACCCTGAATTCTAAATCCTAAACCCTCAAGCCTACAAGGCGGGGGAGGGGTTTGTGTAAGGAACCCATAAGTCAGGGATTGTGGACCAAAGTTCAGAATCCACCAGTCTTGGCCGCTACGCCGCTACGTAGAGTTTAGAGCAAGTTTACGGAATGGTCAGATACAACACATGCGCGGTCCAAGGTTTAGGGTTATATAGTTATAATTGATGGAAAAGAAAATGGAAGCTGCCATTTAGGGTCCAGGGTTCAGAGGCCTTTTAGGGGTTTAGGGTTCACGTAGGTGCTTGGACAAGGCTATTGCATAAATCGTACACCAGTCAGGTACATGCCTGTCAATGAAGTCCAAGATCCCCATAACATCCCACAGTTGTGCGGCCGTTGCACCCCGAAAGATGCAGGGATTATACAAGGCGATCATGTGATCATGGAGGTCTCCCGCATGGACCATGTGGGGGCGTATTGAAACTTTTCCAGATGTCAACGTCTCGTAAAACGAGTTTGCAACGGAGAAGTCACCAGAACTGCCACTGAAAGCCCTTCGAGCCAGCCATCAAAGTGACGACATGTAGCCACTGTAGGTCTCCATCATATGAGACGAGAGGCGCCAAACTTGGGGCCGGCAAATCTTGAACTTCCGCAGGAAGTTCGCCTAGTTGCACCTTCCAAAAGTGTTGTATGAAACCTTCACTGATCCCTCCGCTTTACTGTGAAACCCTCCACAAACCAAAAAGAAGTACATAGGAACACTTGCATATCAACAGGCTGCAATTCTTTTCCCGCAGGGAACTTTTGCTGTGTGATGCGGCTCGGGGGCATTTTCAGCTGTTGATGACCTGGCACAGAAATGTCGGAGCTTTAGCCGGTCTCGCACATTTTAAACTGTGTCTGCACTAAGGCTAGCCGGGTTTTGCATGTGCATCTTTATGCGTTCATGCGATGGCTAAAAAGAGTTCGGAGCGGTTCCAGGTCCCAGCTTAGAATCGGCAGCGCATGCTCTGAGAAATGTTACTGCACTCGTTCTTGGATTTGAAAATCAGGGATCTCTCCAAGGTTTAAGGGTTGTTAGGTCTAGTGGAATATGTAAGGTTATTCAGCATGCCCCATATGGGAGTCGCTTGGCGCTTGCACCGCTAAAGACTGAAGGAAACGTGTCGCATGCCCCAGTGTAAACCATGCTACTTGTACCACTACTTATTATGCACACATCACGAACTTTGTACAAGAGTAAATAAATACTGTACGGCATGATGGCACACGGGACTTTACCATACTACTTATGTCACATGAAAACTCTAGGCGTATCGCACTAGGATGTGCTAGTGTATCAACAGGTGTTGTTAAAGATCGCTTGTGTTGTATTGGTTATGCGATAGTTTACTACTACATTGTATGATTCCGTACCATTAGGGTTTTCAGGGTCCAGGGTGCAAGCTCGAATCATACATACTCCCAATATTTTATTATATCACTGCGACATGTTACCAGAAGAGGAGCACGGGATGTTGCAGGCACTTTGCCAAGAACTCAAGCCTAAAGCCCAAGGGTCACCCTTGAAGATAATGGAAAACTACTGAATTCAATAGTCAGCAAGATGTCGCCTCATTGTCACGCATACTGTAGGGACAAACAGCGCTGCGAATTCAGCGAGGGGCTTGGAGTTTGGGACAAAGTTTAGGCGCTCTAGGTCTGGGACATTCCAATTTTCAGGTTTTTGAGTGGATGGGGAGTGGTTTAGGGTTTAGGGTTCACGGCTTGGGGCTCTTCAAGCCTACACACTAAGCCGCACGCAGCTAAGCCCCCTGCGGTTGAGATCAGGACCCCCCTTGACGTGGCAGCCTGAAATTGCTCGAACGCCGCGCTCGAATGATAACATGCACCTCTACTTTGCACGAGCTGGTTTGTAGTTTGTGCCTGTCCTGTGGTGTAGTTTCCATGAGTTGGGGGCCTGAAATACACCCCAGAATACCACGATCCTCGCTGTGGGGACTTTTCCGAGACAGGCCCCGGTGCTTGAAACTCCTGTGGCTAGGTACACAACCCCAACTTGCTGAGCTCTGCATGAAGAACCACGGAGGTCGAGGAAACCCTAGAGTTTCGGGCTTTAAAACCCTAGGCTATACACCTTAAACAGTGAACATCGCTAAAGAAAACTCGAATGAGCAATCCGACTGTTTGAGACCGTGTAACACGGCGGGCGAACGAAATCTCGTTTGGCTTTGTTCCGCCTGTGTTGGGTCTCTTTCCGCCCTCCCTATACAAACGACGTATCAAAAAGCAACAGCACTTCCGAACACGCCGGGCTTCTGACTGCTGACATCGAAGGATCAACATGCATCGTCACTATCCACGCTTGGCTTGCACAGTCCAGCCTGCCGTGTCTTAAAATTGGATTGCCGAGGACCCAGCACAAAGAAGCACGCCAGTGGAAACATGCACAACTCCGTGAAACAACAGTTTATAAATACGTTTACCTGTGCGACACATCGCATCCTTGTCGCAGCGGTGTCCAGAAACCTCTGCACTGGTAACTTGCTCACAGCCACGAGCTTTCGATGATAGCGTAATCCTGTCCCCAACTTACTCACAGCCACAAGCTTGCGCTGGTACCATATTCGCGTGCCCAAACCTCTTCGCTGGAAAGTTGTTCACAGGCACCAGCTTGCGATGGTAACGTAATCGTGTCCCCAAAACTTCTTGGCTGAATGGTAACGTAATCGTGTTCTCAAACCTTTCGCT